TAACGACACCTTCCTACTCACTTCATCTGTTCCTTGTACATTTTCAGAATTGTATCTACTTACTTTAGCATCAAATTTGGATCTGTTATTATAAACACTATGAAAACTTTGGGACCTATCGCTTCTTAACTGTACATGCGTACAAACAGATACCAAAGACAACTTTATTCAGGCTCCACTCTGTTCTTAATACAAGCTTGCAATGAAGAAAATCAGGCTTAGATACCACTTGGCGGTATCACTGCCACCAGGTTTCCAGCTCCTGCTTTAGCACAGAAATTTGCATTCAGCTGAAGTGTGTGACCAGCCCTATCAGAAGGCACATCTGATGGAAAGGAAGCACATCCTTTTGTTTTGTTGATCTGTACACCTAACTGCAAAGCCCAATCCCCGCCGGCACCAGAGGGAGCAGACTGGAACGTGGGATCTCCAATGAGCCCTTACTCTCAAGCTGCCTTCTGATGAATTTGGCAAATTGTGTAGAATCAAAAAACGGCCTTTCAAACGAATGAGGAATTGTCTGTGTCACCACCCAGCACACAAAAGTGTGCCTGGGTACCCCAAAATAACTCAAACTGACCTCGGTCTCAGAAGCAGCACAGCTGGCAAGGCATCAAACTGAGCTCTCTAGCCCACACCTAGATACGGGCGCTTGGCTTTGCAAATTAAACAATGTTCTCTACATTTAAAATTTCGAATGGGATTTCCTCCGTGTCTTCTGAAAGACAAATTATTTCATTCTAATATTGAACATATTGTTATGCACAACTGTAACCATTTCTACATTTAGTTGCAACATTTGAGTACTGATCCTTCAGCTTGGCATCCTGGATCTGTTTGAGCTACGGAAATAGGCAGGAAGAAAAACCCATTATCTTTTGAGGAAGGCACCTCCCGATGCTCTGTGCTGGACATGGGGGCAGAAGCCAGGCTGGCCATGGCTTGCTGTCTTCTGAGAGCCAAGACTTTCCTGCTTGTGCAGTGCCATGCAGCTTCTGCATTACTTCTGTGCCAGCTTTAGAAAACGGCTGAATTGTGAACACAATCTATCCCAGAGAGAAGCAGGCAAGTTCAACCCTTTGACAGTGATGTGCTGACACCATTTTGTGCCAAAAGCTAAAACTCCCTGAATTGTTCATCTGTTTCTCTAGATGGCTGGGTCTGCCCCCCATTTTCAGCAGCTGGTGCTGCTCAGGACCTGTCCAAAGAGGGTTCCCGGGGCTGGCCAAGGGCAGGAGAGGCTGTGTCCCTGTGGCAAAGCGGTGTGAGGTGACCACCAGGCTGGCCTTGCCTCCCAGCTCTCAGGTGAAGGGACTCTGATGGGCTTTCCCCATTTGCCCTGGCCCTATCCATCTGTGAAGCGCAGTTTTAATGAGCTTTTCCCATTTCAGTACTAGTGCAGGGCTCTCCTTACAGCCCATACCACCCCCATTATTCATGTCTCCACAAAAATCTGCTCGTCTTGAGCCGTAGGAGGCTTTTCTATGAAAATTAAATTATACACTTGAGTGTGATTCAGTCAGTAGAGATGGAACTGATATAATATCAAGTTTGAAGTGACTTTGTATCATGTAACTTTTCTGTCCTGAACTAGCTCTCCCAAACCCACTAACTTCGATCCAAACGCCCTCCACAGCACTCCATGGTGCCGTCATCTCTGCCTGCATCACACCCATTCAGAGGCTGTTTGTGCAGACCAACAAGATTTAAAAGGCTTTTAAGATCTTATTATAGCCTGACTTTGGATCATCTGCAGAACGTCTTCAGATATTATATCCGTTTTCGGTCTGACTCAGACACAAACTAATTTCAAGTTCATCAGGGAAGTATTTTATTTTCATTTCTAACTACAGTCCTTCCTGCCCAAGTGGCTGTATTTCAATCCATGGTTTATAAATATGTTTTTCTTCACTTGAAAATTATGCTTTTGGTCATGTTCTAGGAGTCCCTGGCAAACACCACTTATTACATCTTAACACAAAACGACTTTCTTTTCTAAGTTGTCTCTCCTTCATAGATGTCTACACTGGAAAAAGGGTTTTGAAGAGTTCTATTGATGCTGCAGTGCTCATTACTATTTAGCCACGGCTAAATACATGGCTATTTCACTAGCTGTATTCCCAGAACATAATTCAGCATCACCATGTATCCAGTGGCAATGCTTTGTGAAGCTCCCTCATGTCCAGCAGCTCCCGACTCTCTCCCTCACAGTTTACTTGCAGGGCTGCGCTGTAAACCAAGCAAGTGAAATGTTTCATGTCAAACCCAAGATCTCACAACACATTACTTATTTATTACATGTTTAAATCCAAACCACATACTGATACAGGTCACCTGTGCTTGCAAACCTCCCTGCCACAAGTGTTACTGGAGGGTAGCATAGGACTGAAATGTCATAAATTAGAACTGAGAGATGGAGCTATACCCTTAATTATTTCTTTCTTGCCCCTTCCTTGCTTTATTTTATTGCTTCCATTTTGGTGTAAATACTTCAAAACAAAAAAAAAAGAAAAAAAAGTTGTCATCTTCCCTGTCCCCCTTGAAATGTTCCACATGAAGCAAGTGCCAAGTTGAGCAGATACAGAACTACAGACACTCTGCTGAAAAGTATCCAACTTTGAGCTTCTACTAAGAATATTTACAGATACTGGACAATACCTCTAGGTCCCAAAGAGAACTCTAGCTTCTAGTCTATTCAAAAAGATGCTGTGAGGCTGGGCCTTCACTCAGTTACACTGATGGTATAGAAAAGAGATAAACATGAGAATGCAGAATTAGCTTTCCTAAATGGAGACAGTTCTCGGTACCACAGCAATCTTTTAAGAAATTTTCCACTACACGTTGGAGATGCACTTTTTTTTATTGGCTAGGCATTCAATCAAAACTAATTTTCCTTCAAACAAAAACACTGCTCATCACTGAGTGATAATGTCAATGCTACTTCAGACATTTCAAATTTCAGACTTTTTTTAATGTCTTATGACTTAAGCATAAGAATTGTGAGACAAAAGTGGGTAGATGTTTTTGCCCACGTTTTCATATTCAAATTAATTCAATTTAATTTTGATTTTTTCCTTTTTTAAAGGCAAGTGAACATGAAAGAGTACATCATTGTCTTCATGGATCACCCCTCTGCACTGTTTTTCAGGGTATATCTGTTCTAATTTTTTCTATGCTTTAGCTATGCTATGAAAAAACATCATCGAAAGTAGGATTCATCTCACTTAACTTCAGAGACTTGTAAGGGAAGTATCTACAGCATTGGAGGTAGGCTCATGTTGTAGTCCCTGAAGAGAAACAACCACAATGCAAGATTCATCCCCAATATTTTAGATGCTTCCCTAGCATTAGCTGAATTGCACTGCTTCCTCTGCATTGACTGCACTGTGCACAAAAGATACCTACATTTGTTCAAATCCCTATCTCCTTAAACACATAGTTTTTCCTTGTTTACTTGTAGCCCGGTCATTTAAATTTCAAGGCTTTTGAAGCAAGAACTATCTTCCTTCATATACACATACAACAAACAGGACAACAGCATCATGACTGTGGCCTTTATTTGCTGCCATAGTATGAAACATCAATAATAATGGCAATGCTAATACCCTAAACAGATTAGTAGTTACAGTCCATGGAAAAACAATGGTTTAAATAAGAACTAGATTGAAAGCCTAGCTAAAGAAAAAAAAAAAGAAAAAGGAAAATGAAAAAAATGATTTTTCACAGCCATTGCATGCACCACAACTCTGAAAGGCCAGATATGGTGAGCAATCAAAAAGAAAGCTTTGTCTGACTTACAAAGTCTCTCCTTGTTGTGGTTATGGACTCTGATCTGTTACAGCAGCAATAAATTTTGTTCATGGCTTTTAGCTTTTACAAAGAAGGTGAAAGAGGGACAGCCATCACGTTGTCTCCAGTCCTTAATTATAAAAAAAAAAAAAAAAGTAAAAAAAAAAAAAAGGTAAAAAAAAAAGTCTTGTAGCAGAGGTGGGGACAAGTGGAGTTCATCTGTAGCCAGCAAAGGCTCAAAGGCTTCTGATCCCCTGTATCTCGAGACTGGACTATACTGCCTTCTCAGGTGACCTCCTCTTTCCCAAGCTACTCTTTGCTTCAGAATTTGCCATAGATGAGAGCCACCCCTCAGTCATGCCATACGTAAAATCCTACAGGCAAGACTTAGCTGTTTGGATGTTCTTACCAGGATCCTTCACAAACTATGTAGTCCCCTTGATCTCAGACATACTGCTACTGGGCTGGGCAATACTATGAGGAAAAAAGGGAGATTCACCTAAATACATGAGTTTTGGGGCAGAAAGGGTATCCTCAGGGAACTAGGTGGATGTGACTTTGTAGTGAAGAGGATTATAGAACTTCTTCAGGCCATCAGGGGCAGAAAGTAAAGTAAAACAGGGCAAGTCAGACTGCTGCACTTGTGTATAAAAAAGTGCAGCTCTCAAGACTCACCCAGAATTTGTAAAATATTATTACAACAGTTCTTCAGATCCCCAGACATTAAAGGCTTATAGTCAGTTCACTAAGTAAAAATATAATTAATCAAATTATATACATCTCAACCCTGACTGTACCACCTATATTTTCTTCTGTATAAAACTACTGATGCACAGTTTGAGACCCCACTGCACACAATAGTCTCTTTACCATGCACAATTCTCACCTAAACATGACATTATTTCACCTGTATTCAGACCAACCTCTTCTCTCAGTCTAATAGCAATATTTTCAAAATAACATTACATTCCTTCGCAGGTTCCCTCTAATTCAATAAAACTTTCTCAAGTAAAAGCAATCAAGTGGGTAATTTATATAATTGTATAGATACAGCTTAGTGAGTTTAAATCAAATTACTAGACTACATGTTGAAGTGAAATTTACATCGAAGGGTTTCCTTTCACAAATTAATAAATGCTGAAACCATAATTTCAAGAAAAACTTGCAAAGAAAAAAAAAGGGGGGGGGAAATAGCAAAGTAAGGTAATTACCTATCTCCCTTTGGTTTTCTTTTTTGTACTGTCTTCCCTTTGGGTCGTCTTTCACTTCCTAAACAGGGGCTCCCACCAGGGCCTGTTACCCGTATTGATTCAAGGCCTTTGGAAGATTTCTTAAAAGTAAATTCCACTGGTTCTCCTTCTTTTAGGCTTCTAAATCCTTCCATGTAAAGCTTGCTCTGTAAACAGGAAAAATACTCTTGGTTACCATTGCCTTAAAAACAGTATTTACATTCAGAATCAACAGGACAAAGTATCCTGCCTACTACCCTAGGACACACACAGGTTGAGTAACAGTTTCCTCTGCATGAGCTATAGCAGAAGATACTACAAATTACAGTCTTGGATACACTGAAAACACTAAACAAGTAACAAGAAGCTATTTTCAGTATCAGCAAAACTGAAATAACGTTTTCCTTTTCTGTGATGAATGTTATAGATGTAAGCAGCAGCTAAAATGCTGTATTCTAAAAGCCCCTGTCTAACAGGCATCAGGAACCAAAAAGGCGCTTTTTTTTGTTTTAACAAAATGGAGAGTTCACTTCAGAGCTATTAGTTCATGATCAAAATTATCATAATTTGTATTCCTTATATCTGGGACAGGGCTCTGCTGCTCTTAAAATGACTCAAAGATGTAACGAGCGCGAGAGGCAGGAGGCGGACACTCTGAACAAAGTCCACTGAAATGGGAAATTCAGATATACCTAGCGAGCTGCTAAATTTATGTTCACAAGCCTAAAAATCTTGCCTAATTGGCATGATTTAGGAATGGATTTGTGTTTTCACTCACAGAAAAGGAAATTATTATCATTCAGGGCAAGTGAAATAAATATTGGTAAGTCTTTTGACATTACACTGTAGCAGCAAAATGAGCTCACCATTGATTTTGTTAAAATGAAAATTTTTATCTCAAATCCTAATAAATTATGTTAAACAGTAAGGTCAACATGTACAACATGCCAGAACAAATTTGATGAATCAAACTCTTAAATAAAATGATCATTAAGTGAGACGATTTTTGGGGGGAAAAAGATAAAATGAAAGACATCGGTTGCACTAAATGTTTACTTTAGAAGTTACACATTGCGTGGAGGAGATCAATCAGACTCACAGAGAATATTATAAAAATCTGTCAATTTCCAAACACTTGTAGCTTTTGCAGGAGAGTTACAAAACGTGTTTTCTTCCTTTGCTCACGAACTCTTCATAGCAAAGAGAAAAATGTACCCTGACCGATTCTTATTCTGCTCTCCAGCATCCACTTGGCCAAACCATGGAGTCAAGAAAGGAAATGCCACTGCAGACGCCATCCCACTACTCAGTCACATGTCAAAAAGAGTCAAATAACACATCTACTGCCCCACAGGTACAACTAGGGAATGTGTTCCAAGTCAGATGGCAGCCCCTGACACCACCCTCCTGTATTCACATTCTGGGCACGGCAGGTCTGCAGCACCCAGATGCTACTTAGCAGAGCACAAGGACCAACACCTACAGAGTCTGTAGTTCATACACAAAGAGGGAGCTGGTCTCTTCACAAGGATGCACAAAGGACAGGAGGCAACAGGCCCAAGCTGCTTCAGGGGAAACTCCATCCAGACATAAGGAGAAGTTATTCACTACGAGAAGGATTAAACAGAGAAGCCCGGAGAAGTAGCGTAGTTCCCTTTGCTGGAAATAGCTAAGACTCAGCTTAACAGGGCAGTGAATAACCTAATCCAAGGCCCCACTTTCAGTGAAAGGTTGGACCAGAAGATCTCAAGAAGCATCTTCTAATCTAGACTTTTCTGTGATTCAGGTATCTTAACCTGGAGCTGAATCACACCCAGCCTTTCTAAAGTGGGACACCACTGCAAACTCCATTTCCCACAGCACTAACAGAGCAAGTTTAAAATTATAAAATAATTGGGAAAATTTATTTTAATGAAACCACGTGAAAGGACATGCACCTTTGCTTCCAAAATCCCCAAGTACCAGACCAGCTGAGTTCTCAAAGTCTACCCAGCAGCAACCATTCATAACGCAACAAGACACTACCAGTGACTGAGGGACCTAGTTGCTTATAATTTTTCCAGCAGTCAAAAGTAAGTAAGAACACAGTTCCACTGGTTAGGACGAAGGCTGGTTTTGCTTATCCAGCCGTGCAGCTCTAGTACAGGTGGAATTTCCACCTGTGTGGAAAATAGGACAAAGAGTTGACTTTCTAAATGAGAAGTTGAGCTCTAATTAAAAAGGGATGGGGTGGGGTCAGGGTGGTACAGAGAAGGGTCACATATAAAACAAGAAATATATAATATCTGTTCTGTTCCCTGAACACTGTAAGTTTGGCTGATTTTTGAAAATATAAGGTATGAAAAAGGAAATATGCAAATTTTCTCACTACTACAACTGGAAGACAGTAATTCTACATAAACCAATGAAACAAACCACCCAGGAAGGCAGTATTATTTCAAGCAAGCCCTCCACTTTGAAATGTCTGTACAGCAATAAAGGGATCTCCATCACAATGAAGAAATATCCAAATTCAGAAGATGCCCAAAGACAACACCACTAGTTATCAATCAATAGAAGAGGCTCTGCCTGCGGCGTGAATCCATCCCTAGGTCCATCCACACCTCTTCAGTTTTCAGCAACCACCAGGGAAAATCTTGTTAAAAGGAAAGAACTGAACAACATGTATTTTGTCCCAAACTAAAAATATATAGTTAAATGTTCCAAAGCTAGACAATCATTACAACACTGATGGGTGCTAATTACAAGTGGGATCTCAAGCAGATACACATAAACTCCTATTTCTCAGTAATACTGAACACAGCACGATGCTTTTGTCTTTTTGTTTAATTACAACTTAATGAAGATGTAGTTAAGTCTTAGCAAGACTTAAGCATTTTTCCTTTGAGTTTCACTGTTACAAAATAAGTGCCAGAAGGTTGACATCTGACATGCATATAACATTGTTTTCTACTTTACTTCAAAAAAAAGTACTTATTTAAAGTGCAGCTAGTAGGCATTATTAGTACTCTAAAATGTTTTGGTTTGTTTTTTTTTCCTCAACAGAACTTTTATTTCCAGAGTACTATATTTACAAGAGGGATTTTTAAATATATTTAAAAGCCAAAGTAATGGGACAACTCTCTAAATCACATATTGTGCAAGTCTACTTTTTTAACATATTTGTTTTTTCAAGCACTTTCAACAACAGAAAACGTTGAAAAAAATCACTCCAAGTGACTTGCACAGTACTCCCCTTGAATGCACCTCAATGGCTTCTCAATGTTAAGAGATGGGTTTGGTGCCATCTGACTTACTGCGTAAATGTACACTACTATGCCATAGCCAGCTCATGGTGAGATTCTCTCAAGGTACTATAACAATTCAAATCCATAGTGGGAAAAGTGACATTTGGAAACCAGCAAAACAAATCTAAAACCTGAATTCCTCTTAACTTGCCTAAAGAGTTGGACAAAAAACGACTGTAAAGTTGATAATTTAATGTTGAGAGACCTAGCTCCGTGTTTTCCTTGCACTACTTAAACAAATAAATCCCACACAATTAAAAGCAGCCAGAGTTTCAAGTCAGTGAACCATTTCTAGAGTCCTGAATGGGGTGTATGGGCACACCGCCAATGAACAAAGGGAAAAACTTAAAAGCAACATGCTTTTCCTCCTTTTTCTCTCTTTCAGCTGTCAGAGACTTCACTGTTATTTTTGCCAGCAGTCACCACAGTGATTTCAGACTCCAGCTTTTTTTTCCTTTTTCTCTTTTAACTTTACGATGCCATTTCTTTTTTGGGTTTTTTTTTGTGGTTTTGTTTTCTTTACAGGTATCCTATTAGTTCTTGGTATTTTAGTCTACAGCATAAAGTCTCACACATCTCTGTTGCAAGAAACAGTTTTGTCCAAAATGGTGGCAATTTCATCAGAGTATTAGCAACAACAAAAAATAAGAGTGGAAAAATCCATGATCACAAGTTCCTGGAAACCATTTCTCACTGCGAAATGAAAATCAAATATAATCCATCTTAGCATGATGGTCCCAAAGACAAGTTTCTTTGGCAGTGTCAGGGAGAGCTTTCAACTCTCACCGGGCTCTACAAAAGAAAGGAAGTTTGGAATTAAGGCTCATTATAGGGGCCCGGTTGCCTCCAGTACGTGTGCATTACTTTTATTAAGTGTGGGGAGAGAAAGGAGAACAGGGTCCTGGTAAGCACCTCCTCACAACAACTTTGCCACTTCTAGTCAGGGCTGTGAACAACTTATGTTGCAGACATTAAATTCTTGGGGTGATGTGGGGGAAGTTATTCAGCGGCATTCTACTTAGCATCGTTTATTTTCTGTATCTCTCATTTCTGCCCCTTTTTATCTAGTGATTGATTGATTGCTCAGTACAATGACCAGATGCCACCAGTATGCCGGGTTTCCCAAAGTAAGAAAACGGTTTTCCCTCCAAAATTATCTACAATTAAATCCAGACATGGAGGAAAGAATATCCTGAATCCCAACTTCACTAAAGATTCTAAGAATTTCTCTCCAAAATGACCTCATACAGTTCCGTCAAAAGCCAGCAACCTTTGAGTAAAGCAAGAGCATAGATTAAGAGGATACAGAAATTAAAGGATTTACACTGGATCTATACTAGCGCTTTACCTGCATTAGGTCAAAAATCAGAATTTAACTGTTCTACACTGCAAAAGTTAAGGGAAGCGTTGCAAAATACTATCAGTTGCATGAAACAAGTCCTGCTGCAAGGATTTTGCTGTCCGCCAAAAATTAATTTTAGGAGGTTTGTGAAGATCATGTATTTTTGCAGGCAGAATCCTAAACCATACCAAAAAAAATCTACTACACTGAACAATCAGCTGCTTTGAGAGCAACACGTCGCTCTGCTGCACTAACACAGAATTTGAAGGCCAGGCACCCACAAGATAACTCGCCATTGCTCCTGCTGACCTCACGGGCTTTTTCCTGCTCCTTGAGGCTTATCTTCCACCAAATCTGGCACTTCTTGGTTCTCCCCATAAGCCAATTTAACTCACTAATCTGACAGGAAACAAACTCAGTTTAAAAAGGGGGGAGGATAAGAGGAAGAGGAAACAGGGATAGATTTTTGTTTTTCCAGTGAGCTAAATCTGTTCACAGAAAGGTTCAATGAGCTCCAGGGCATACACAGTGGAAATGG